AACGAGAAGGACTTCGTGCCGTGGTGTGCGCGCTGCGAGGGGTGGGGCCACACCAAAGAAAAGTGCGCGACGGAGGAGGCCGTCCTAGCGCAAGTGGTCGAGCATGAAAGCGACGTGGACTCCGTGGAATACCAGGCGTTTTTTGCCGTGGCACTTCCCCCAGGCGAGTGTGGTACCGTTGTTGAAGTAGGTCTAGTGGGGGTTGTGAAACAAGGCCAGGCGGTGTACGTGGCCGACACAGCGACCACGTGCTCCATGTTCCGATGTGCAGTCAACTTCGTGAACTATCGTGAGCGTAGCGGTTGGGTGAATGGGATCGGAGGCGACAAGGCCCCCGTTCCTCTTCTAGGATACGGACATGTGACCTTAGTCCTACAGACGGTAAGATGGTGGAGTACCCGTGCCAGTACTGAATGCTGCCCATGTACCAGAGGCCCCCTACAACCTCCTCTCGCTGTCTTCGTTGGCGGAGGAGGGCCACACGTATTCGGAGATGAAGGAGGGCCTCATGCTGACCACGAAAGCCGGGGGGGAGGTGTGGTTCCCCCGGACTGGAAAGCTGCTGACCCAACGAGACTATCAAATAAAGCCAACGCTACACACCGCCTGTGCCGCACTCATTGTTCCTGGCGATGCGAAAGCAGCCAGCCCCACTGACTGCAACGAGTACAACCTCACACACGGCCATGCCCACGAGACATTGCTTAGGATCACGGCGGAGCAGCACGGAGTGCAGCTGACGGATTGACCGCTGCTACCCTGTCTTGGCTGTTCGATGTCCAAGNGACGGAGGCAGCGTTCCCCCGTCGCCCCCTTCGGGAAGGGGCGACTTTGGCGGAGGCAGTGACGGCCCCGCCGACAGCAGCAGCAGCAGCAGCAGCAGCAATAACAGCAGCAGCAGCAGCAGCAGCAGCAGCAGCCCGAGCAGCAGCGGCAGTGACGCCGGCGGCGCCGGCGGCCCGGGCGGCGAAGAGCCCGGCGACCCAGGTGGGGACGGCGGTAGCGGTGGCGATCCCGGCAACTCCGAGAACCTCGAGGAGTTGAAGTATGATCCAGCCGACGACCGCTACCCCCGCGGGCAAGAAGGGAAGAAACTCCTCTGGGGCGCCTCGAACGCTGGCCCGCTGCGCCATGGGCTTGAGAGTGGCCGCACGCGGAAGCAGACCCGGGAGTTGCAAGGTGCCGGGGAGATGCCGGGGCCCGGAGACACCGGACCCGGAAGAGGCACCGCTGGCGACCATACTGGAAACTGGCGGGACGGGGATTGTTGAGGACTACATCTGAAACTCGCTTGTGAAGGAGCAGTGGGACGAGGAGCAGACACGCCGTATGGAGGAGATGTACAGGCGCGAGATGCAGGAGGTGTTGGGCCCGGAACAGCAGGCGTTCGGGGTCGAGGTCGACGCCAGCGGGTCTTTCCAACCANGCGACCATCCTGGAAACTGGCGGGACGGGGATTGTTGAGGACTACATCTGCAACTCGCTTGTGAAGGAGCAGTGGGACGAGGAGCAGACACGCCGTATGGAGGAGATGTACAGGCGCGAGATGCAGGAGGTGTTGGGCCCGGAACAGCAGGCGTTCGGGGTCGAGGTCGACGCCAGCGGGTCTTTCCAACCACTCCCAGACCCACAAGCCGAAGAGAGATGACGAGTCCGCGGTGGATACGCCTGGGAGGGAGGCGATCGGATGCCTGATGTGAACGAAGCTGACGAGGCCAGACATCGCCCTGCCTCTGAACAAGCTCCAGAAGATCGCCCACCCACCCACCGGGAGGATATGGAACGCGCTTGTGCGGATCATGTCCTACCTGAACTTCACGAAGGACTTCGGCATCACCTACGTACGGGGGTCAGGACTAGACCTAAGCGTGTTTGTCGATGCCAGCTACGCTAACAACGAAGTAGACAGGCGTTCTACGACCGGGNCCTCGGAAGCAGAGTATATGGCAGCCGGGGAGGGCGTGAAGGAGGCGTTATTTGTGCGTGGCGTTCTGTCGTTCATAACCNAAGGAGGCGTTGTTTATGCGTGGCGTTCTGTCGTTCATAGCGCCCGAGACGAGTGGGGCGAAGATCAAGGTCCTTGAGGACAACAAGGGCGCTCTCGCCTTAATCGAGAACCCATTCAGCTCAGCGAGGAGCAAGCACATCGACGTGCGGTTCCATTTCATTCGCGAGCTATTCAAGTCGGGCAAGATCAGAGTATGTTCCGACTGGAGAGCAGCACGCCGACATGCTGGCCAAGGTCCTTGGCAGAGAGAAGTTAGAGTACCACCGGCAGGCTTTGATGAACCTACCGATGCAGTGCTCTCTTGTTCTGTTTGGTTCATGTGGTGGTCTTAGCACTTGGCATATATGACCATGGTACGTCACGCAGGAAGCGTTGTGCCGGCGCGTCACCCGCGGCTGGAGCCTAGAAACGCCGAGAGCGTTGCTTCGGGTGTGTAATCAGCGTGACCGGTTCAATCTGTCCTGCCTTGGTCTTGTCTTGGAAGTGCGGCCGTTGAAATCCTCCGTGATAGCAACGGTTTTCTATATTTAGGATGTTAGACGAGGGTTTTTGATCCGGTTGGCCGGGTTTTTCCTCGAGCCTGTTGTTGTTTTGAGTCCCTTTGGTAGATCAGGGGTATCCATGCCCCACGTTAGGTTTTCCATTCGCGTGCAAACCGGGGAGGGTATTCGTGTGTTTGGATACGGACTGGATAGATTTACCGGCAAGAACAGAGGGCACGCAGATGGGGCATATGTACATCTTGAAATGGTTGCATATGCGGGGACCCCTCGAACTCCAAAGAGGGCTTCACTTCTCCCTACTCCCCTTGCGTGTCTAATACAAGAGATAAAACGTCTTCCCCTTCCAAGTAAAGGACATATACGAACACCTGATACCCTTTCCTCACTTAGAGTCGGTGAATAGGACTACGGTTCCCGGTCGACTTTCGCTGTTGATACAGTCTTCCCTCCTGTCTCTACCGCAGAAATATTTATTTGCTCGATGTCTAAATCGAGGCTTTCCGCGCAACCCTTTGCTGTTTGTTCAATACAGAAGTACCCACTACTGTTGCAGCAGTGGTAACGTGTGTTTACAATGAACTCTCAGCCCCTTGGTGTAGATTACCAAGTAGTGCGCTCACTTTCGTTTCGGCTGATCGTTGATGATCTCCCAAGTCTCCGAATCCAGATTTCCGCTCGAGGTCCACAGACGGAAGTTGTAGTCCACAGTAGGATGTCTTGACCTCCGTCGTGACGTCCACAGCTCCTAATGTTCGCGTAATGCGAGGCTCATAACCTCTCAGAAGGTGGCGTTCTGCAGCAGCGGAGGTGGCGGTGCTGCTGTAGCTCGTAGACTTTGTAGTCCATCACAGAGGTTACACTGCTGTGAAAGCGGCAGGCCCGAGCGAGCTTCGGAAAGAGAAATATGGATAAAATAGTTGTTCTTATCAACTGACTCCCTGGTCAGGCTTTGATGGGTGCTAGACGAGAGTGAGAGGGGTGGTGAGCTCAGGGCTGCACCACTCTCGTCGAATACCGGACAAATAAGCCAACCACACAAAAGATCTAGAATGCTTCCAGAATAATTCTGGAAGACCTTCTACGTCCTAGAAAAATATCAAGTGCAACCTAGGTCTAGAACGCTTCCAGAAGGTTCCAGAAGTTTTCCAGAAGCTACATACGTTCTACGTAGATGTCCCAGTCGATCTTGACCTATAGCATGCTTCGGGAATATTTCAAAAACAATAGAATACATGCTACAGGCTTGCCTGCCAAATTATCTCCGCTACAACTCTATGCTCATGTTCTCTGCTAAGTACCACCTCTTCTTTCTGTATTATGTCTACGGAAGGCTAGTTGCCGCAGTCGCACCTACCTATGGTAAACTGTGCCTGACTACTACGTTGTAACAGTTTTCCTCAACAATCGGGACAAAGGGAGAAGACTCCTCGTGAGTCAGACTGACCTCGAGTGGGTGTTTCTTCGTCCGTACATGTCCACAAATTCTCAATATCCTACAACTTCAACTCTGCTGACAGTCCATGCTTGCTTGCGTTACGAGAATCAAAGATTCTATCCAATCCTCTCAAAAGACCTGTCAAATCTCTCAAACTTATTCCCCGATATATATAGACTAAATGTATACCAATCCGCCTCACAACCCTCCGATAGATCGATATATATATATATACCGATCCGCCTCACAACCCTCTGATAGTTCAGTACTCTTTCAAACAGTTCCTGCTCTTTCCCACCTCCTCTCTTTCCAAGTAGGAGTACGCTTGACTGTAAACAACATATTCGCACGATTGAGAGCGAAGTATCTGATTGAGAGCGAGATCGTGCGATACGATGTAGTAGCTTGTCTACTGCTGAGAGGTAGAGCTTGCTGTGCGGCTTGAATTGAAGGGCTTGCCCATAGCTACAAGCCGATACCGGGTCATCCTGCGGGTGTCTCGCGTTGTGGAGCTACACCGCGGAGCAGAAGCTACGGGAGGGCCTACCGCGCCAGGCGACGGGGCCCTGAAACAGTTTCGGGCAGGAATAGCCAATCTGGGGAAATCTAGCAACGTGCGTAGCTCCTCGCTGCTGCAGCCGATCGCAGTGACACGCATATGCACGCGAAGCTGCTGAAGAGAGCTTCAATTTGCGCCGCTTTTTGGAAGAGCCCGTCCCCTGCTTACCGAGAAATGACGGGAGGCGTCTGGACCCGAATTTCGATATTTTTTGGTTCTCGCTCTCAATCAATCGGAAACTTCGCTCTCAATCGTGCGAAAACCCTGTTTGTACTCAATTCACACCAGCCCTGTTCCATACCACACTTTCCCGTAGTTACCCGGTATTTTCCCAGTTCCAAGAAAAGCGGCCCGATTGCACCACATTCAATATGCTATGCAAGGCGTTCCCTATGGCGGGCTGTGGAGATTATCGCGTGAGAAACTTTGTCCAGGCAGACGCTAGCTTGCTTCGTCACACAAGTTAGCGGTTGGTACAGTTTGGTTGCGTTATAGAACTCGTTTGCGCTTGCGCACGCCAGGAGTAGTTAAGCAGGAACCGTTCGCGCTGATTCATTGATATATGTTCCATCATATTGTTTTGAATTGCTCATAAGCAGTCAACGCCAATGATATGGGGATGGAGTGTAGACGCATCGTAGAACGCGTTTTTGTTTGAAGTTGGCGTCTTGTTTGAGAGTAAATGTGACAGATTTGCGTATAATAGGGTGAGATGTTATCATGAACGGAGATGAAAGGGCTTTTCCAACACGGAGATGTAGCATGGATCAAAGCATTTGTTGGATTTCAGCTTTTACAAGCGGACATCAACGCAGTAGTATTTTAGCAAGCTTACGAACGCATATAGGATACCATCAGGATTGTCATTGGTAAGTTGAAGAGGAGATACTTTTACGATGTAAATGACAGTAGAAATAAGTCCTACATATGTTGTTGTACTTCGTATTGGTTTAATATTCATGTAGAGTATGAGACATTAAGTGAAAGTTTTCTGAGGTACATCTGCAATTGTCGGAAGGCAAAAATAAATAAATAAATAAATACCAGGAGGATTGTCATTGGTTTTATTTCAAGTTGAAGAGGAGATA